AGTTCATGTTTTTCAACTCCAAGGACTTAGAACCAAGGATGGAAATGTTTAAGAAAATCAAAACCATGATATTAATATTTTGTGTTAGAAAGGAGTCTGTCCATATTTGGTATTTTCTATACTTTTAGTGTTTAAAAGAATTAGGCCTATTAGAGTGCCAGTCTTATGATTCCAATTTAAAATATATAATTTAGGTTTAGGCTTATGATTTTAAGTTGATGTATTATTAAGATTATACAAAGCATTGAGAATCTAGGTTCAGCATATTTCTAAGTTTAACTTATTAGATTTATAAAGAACAGTGTTTGGGAAGTATTATTAAGTCAAAGGAAAGGTATACAGAAAATAAAGTATATCAAATATATAAAGGCACTTTATAATATTTGAATATGTTTAAATTAGACCAAATATTATTAAAAAATCTTTAAATGTGATTAACATTTTCTCAACGTATAAACCAATTGATAGGATATGTAAGCTAAACTTAAAAGCCTAACAAGGAACTAGGTATTATGAATTTTTTAAACCCAAAGCAAACTTGTGACTAATCTTCTATGCACACAACAATTACACTGAATAACACCAAAAGTTTCACATCAGCCCTTTGGATTGAGGAGTGTGGAAATTGGAAGATTTCCCCCCAGGGAATTAAAATCTTTAGGATTAATTATAACCCTGATTGCTATTTGTACCAGAATTTAAGAATGAACCTTCCATAGCACCAAATGGGCAGGGTGCATTCTTGTTTAATGTCTCTAGATAGAAATGTTCTAGATAGAAATTATGGGGAAAAAAAGAAATTATGGGATTTCAATCTAATATCTACAGATCAGGGGAAATGGAGCAAACTGAAATCACACAGATCATAGCAACTTCTGGGAACTCTAAGTAGCTCAAGTATGGCTGACCATAGAGTACAAAGGACAACTTTAACCTCATAAAATATTTAAACACAGAAATCAGACATCCAGGAACATAGAATTTTTTTTAGAACTATATGTAACCTTAGAGAGATTATCTATTTCATTTTATCAGCAGCAAAGCTGTCCATCTCAAACTAAAAGCTTAGGATTTTTTTAAAAATATTTATTTATTTCAGACAGAGAAAGTGCACATGGGGTGCATGAAGAGGCAGAGAATCTTTCAAGCAGACTCCTCACTGAGCACAGAGCTCAATGCGGGGCTTGATCCCATGACCCATGAGATCATGCCTGAACGTTAACCAAGAATCAGGTATTTAACTGACTAAGCCACCCAGGTGCCCCTCTAATAGCTTGTTAAATGCAGAGCACAAATTAGAACTCTGTATTGTGTGGCTAAATATCTTAAACTACTAGAATCATCACAGCTTTCCCACAGAATACTTGGCAATTCTTGATGAAAAGGCAAATGCAATTACAGTATCATAATTAACAGATAAAAACAAGGGAACAGCAAACGGTGCTTGAAAAGATGTTGACAATAACTGGTTGAGTCCTCAGAGGAGACTGAAAATGAATCCTTCAGATCTGCTGAATGGTAATAGGAGAGTAACCTGGAATGCAAAAAATATTTCCAATCTGGAATAATCCACATACAGATACTAAGTACCTCCTCCTACATAAAGGAAGAAAGAAAGTAGGAAAAGCACTCACACACTTTGCTTGGTCCAGGAAATCTGGTAGAGTTGTGTTTCCAAACATTTATCGTTCGGGTTCAACCTTCACAATTTTTGCCATATCCTCATCACTCTTGTGTCCTATTATTTACTTAACATTTTTCTTTAAGTCAAATTTAGCTTTGTCCTATATATATTTTTACAGTGTAGATATAGATATAGATACTAGATATACATTATGCTATATGTACACTATGAATACTATGTATAGGAAAATACCAGGCAAGTAAGGCAACGGTGTTTTTGATCAGGAGTTGCCAAATGCACAAAAGTTTTCTCTAGCTTCCAGCGAGAAAGACTTTCTGCATTTGTCCTTCCTCTAAAAGAACCATTTACACTAAAAATGCAGTTCAGCAAATATGAGCACTTATTCCATGTCAAATCCAATCCTGTGACCTGGTGGTACCAGAGGCCCATCCTTGCCCTCCAGGAAGCTAGAATGTAATGGCAAATGAATTGATTCTTTGGGGGAAAAATTACCCACCCTATCTTAATAAATATTCCTGTTATGACAAAATCTTAACATGCACTTTCTCCTGAGACTGATTAGAGTATCATTAAGGACAAAGCTGATTCCTGACAAGGCAGACTGAGGAGCCCAGAATTAAATTTTCCCAAAAAGGAGCCAGGCAGGAACAATCCTGTTTGATATATTAAGATCTAAAATAGGTAGTGAAATAATGTGTACAATGGGAGCATAATTATACAAATATATGTATATTTATGCATAAAATAAAGATTAGAAGGAAGTACACCAAGATATCAAAATATTAACAGTAATTATCTCTGCATGTTGGAATTACATGTGAGTTTTATTTCCATACTTAATAATTTTTGTGTTATACAAGTTTTATTCAATGAGATTTTTTTTTTTTGGATATCAGAAATAAAATTTCTTTTTACCTTAATTTTTGATTCCCATTTACCTAAGACTTTTTTATTAGAGAGGTTTTTTTGTGTTATGTGTGCGTTGTTTAATAAAGGCTGCCTCTCTTTAAAAGAAAAAGGAACAGGCTCTTAAGAAGTTCAACCACTTGTTCTCTGTAACTGCCTTACCCTTTTCTGCTCCATATCTTTGCACTTCCTTCTGACTTGAAGGTATGTTCCTTTATCTCCACATGTGAAATTGGTATCTATAAGGTCTTCCATGAAGCTCAAAATTACAAGCAATTTCTTCTTCTGACATTCCATAGTATCTTATTTGTAACTTATTTATGACAATCACTTTCTAACATTTTGAACATGACAAACAGAATCAGAGAATCTTAGAACTCAAAACGATCATAAAGAACCTCATTCAACTTACTTTGCAAATGGGGAAACTGAGGCCCAATTAAATTATGTGATATACTTCAATTTGCACAGTGAGTTAGATGCAACATCAAGACCAGATGCCAGGCTCCATCCAGGATCCCAGGTCCCTGTCCTTCCTATTTACACAAACCTATGCCTACCTGGAGTGAGTGGTTAAATATTTTTGCTAAGTTGAATGGCAAACTTTGTCAACTAAGAGTCTTAACTTATGATTATGTCTGGCATAGCATAAGGTAGCCATGCATTGACTGGGTTTCTCTTTTTCTTTCTTCTTGCTCCAGTATGCCTTCTATTTTGGCCCATAAAGAGGAGAAAGATAGTCCATAAAGATGATGACAAAAATTTGGGTATCGCATTTGGGCACTCCATCTTGAGCAACAAAAAAGACTATTTTTATAAATCTGATGTTTTCAGCACTGACTTTCTCTACACTCTCCTAGTCAGATACTTAAATCTCCTCTCTACCTACCCTTTCCCAATTATTTTATTTGTTAGTATAATGAAAAATCTCACTTTATGAGCAGCTGAACAATGCTGATTTTCAAATTCAGCAGGCAATTCAATTATTTCGTAGGAAAGGGGCTTTATAGTACATTAGGGACCTACTTAAGGGGATTCTTCAACTTTCATTCAACCTATACTTCCCTACATTATACACTGACCCCTCCAAAACACCTTCCACACATAGAATCCAGACATATAACAGATACGCACACATTTCAAGTTAGCTAATAGCAGTGCAGCTTTTTAAACAACAGTTCTGTTTATTTATTATTAGGCAATCATTTAAAGATTTTATTACATTTCCTGTCACACAGTATAGGAAATAAAATGCACACCCAGCTCTACTATAATTAATGCAATTGATGGGGAAAATGGCAATCTCTAGGTACACTGAAAACAACACAGTCAGATACTCATTAGATTTAGAAAGAACCCTGTGTTTATAATTGTGAAGGAAATCAAACAATATGTTCAAAAGGCTAAAAATATATTATCAAATATTTTCTTAAAGGCAATATTTTTTAACATTGTTTCAATTATCTGGGAAAGGAAACCTCCTTATAACGTGTAAGTCGTTCTCAGATACCAGACAGGTTCCAGTAAATCATCTATTAATTCTCTTTTGACTTTTTGTTCTTGAATAAAGGAACTTACTTCTGCACCAGCTCCCTGGGCTTTCTACCCTTTCTAAAATGTTGGTTCTTCCCCCCTTTTGTTCAGAAGCCAAATGATTAGCTTCAGGCTCATGACTGATTTCCCATTGTTCCATTCACTCTAACCTCTCCTCATTGCGCCAACAATCTGGACCCCAGAGGGATTTGTCACAGTTATCCAATTCTCTTTCTCCCTTGGCAGCAATTTTTTATTTGATTTTTCTTTTCCTTTACTTTTATAAAAAGAAAAATTCTCACTTTAACACTTCCTTTTAAATCGTCCTTTGGTTATGAGAGGAGGAAAGGGCCTTAACTTCTTGGAACTCACACAACGTTGACAGGGAACTCTGGTACTCATCTCTTTGTGCTACAACCCAGAGATGGAAATGATACTCTTAAAAATGGTATTGCCTTCCAATCTATATTTGAATCTATTCATCATGATGATAAATTCAGCTTGATTCTGTCATAGAAGCTATTTTTTAAAAATCACCGACAAAGTAAAAACAATCAACAGTTACTAAAAAAAAAAAAAAATCTCCGGAAAGGAATGGGAAAATGATACTTTGTTCTCAAATAGAATGATATGACTTTCAGATAACAAAGTACATGCAGCAATAGAAAGAATATAACTATTGAAATCATTCCAGGGTGAAGGGGAGTGGGAGATGCAGGTTTCCAGTTATGGAATGAGTAAGTCACGGGAATAAAAGGTACAGCATAGGGAACAGTCGATGATATTGTAACAGCATTGCATGGTGACAGATGGCAGCTACACTTGCGGTGAGCATGGCATAACGTATAAAGAAGTTGAATCACGAGAGGTTAAGTCCCATCAGCCCTCGCGCGCCACCTTCCCCTCTCTTCCTCGGCGCTGCCTGTGGAGGTGGCAGCTATCTGTTACTGGGCATCATGGCTGCCCTCAGACCTCTGGTGAAGCCCAAGATCGTTAAAAAGAGGACCAAGAAGTTCATCCGGCACCAGTCAGACCGCTATGTCAAAATTAAGCGCAACTGGCGGGAACCAGAGGCATTGACAATAGGGTGCGCAGAAGATTCAAGGGCCAGATCTTGATGCCCAACATTGGTTACGGGAGCAACAAGAAAACAAAGCACATGTTGCCAAGTGGCTTCCGGAAGTTCCTAGTCCACAACGTCAAGGAGCTTGAAGTGCTGCTGATGTGCAACAAATCTTACTGTGCAGAGATTGCTCACAATGTCTCCTCCAAGAACCGCAAAGCTATTGTGGAAAGAGCAGCCCAGCTGGCAATCAGAGTCACCAATCCCAACGCCAGGCTGCGCAGCGAAGAAAATGAATAGACAACTTGTTGTGCACATCATATTTTTGTTAATAAAACCATAAAACTACAAAAAAAAAAAGAAGTTGAATCACTATGCTGTACACTTGAAACTAATGTAATGCTGTATGTCAACTATACTCAAATAAAAAAAAATGTTTTAAAGAAATTATTCTGAATGGGGAAATCTGTTGCCATCATTACTAGTATTTAGCATCAGTGACCCAGGCAGTATACACTGGAAATCGTATTTAATCTTCACAAAACTCTGTTAGGCAGATAGTTCTTATCCTCCTTTTTCATATGTTAGGAAACAGGCTCAGAGAGGTTGCTTAATGCCTGATGTCACATAGCACAGCCGAAATAAAAACTCATGCATAACTGGGAAGGCCTGAATGCAAGAAGAAAGTCAGACAAATGAATTCTGAATTGGACTCTGTATCATTCGAAATCTTTAAGATTTAACCAAAAACAACAGACAAAAAAAAAAAAAAATCTCACTTAGTTGAAAATCTCTTCTGGCATAGTTTTTGAGCATATAGTTTGTAGGATAATACAGTAAGTGAAAACATTAACCCATAAAACCCATTTTTGTAAACTGTAAGTACGATCATACACAGGAACTATTCCAAACAACAAATTAAAAGTTTTATAAAAGTCACCTGATAAACAGTTATCAAAACTATTGAGAATTTTATTTTTATACTTAAAATTTTAGGAAATATCTTTTTTACCATAATTTAATCTATGTAAAACAATCTTAAAACAAAAAACAAAAAACAAACTTTGTTCCATTTATCTCATTCACATATGTTATAATTACCATTTGAAAGATCTTAAATTATTTATGCATAATAAAAGTATCAAGAGTGGACTAAACTTAACAGTTTAATTACAGAAATTTGAAAGCTGCCCATTAGTTTCCTAGAATTCTAAATTCTGATTTTTTTTAATTGCATTGGCAGTAAGACGCAAGGGATATGAGAGAATCCTTTTGGAAGCAATCCCAATGACTACAGGATATCTTTCATCTACAGTTCATGTCTTATTTAACATCAGAGAACGTAAAGTGGGGGGGTTGGTATTCAAATTATTACAAATCAGCTTTGAATTATAACATAGGCAAATTCTTGTTGATTTTACCATGAATTTTTTTAAGATCCTTCTAGCACTGTTTCCACTTATTAAATAAGATCCTCCAACTTCAGTAAGGGCTGCATCTCTAGAAATTGAAGAATTAAGTTCTTTGTTTAGAAATAAAAGAAAATTATTTTTCTACAGTCTTCTCCTTTCCCCTTAAGATTTCTAAGTCAACACAGTAGTGAGAGAGAGTGTCTCTCTCTCTCTCTTTTTAAGATTTTATTTATTTATTTGAGAGACAGAGCAAGAGAGAGAGCACAAGCAGGAGGAGTGGCAGAGGGAGAGGGAGAAGCAGATTCCCCCGCTGAGCAAGGATCCTGATGGAGGGCTTGATCCCAGGACCCCAGGACCATGACCCCAGGACCGTGGGATCATGATCCGAGCCGAAGGCAGATGTTTAACTGACTGAGCCACCCAGGCGCCCTCTCTCTTTTTTCTTATTTATATACCTATAATAGCATTAGCTCATTTTTAATAATAATAATTTAAAATAAATCTGTGTCTTAAACCCCTTGATTTGGGGAGGATAAAGACAACTAAATTTTGAGAGATAGAGAATTTAGAAGGGACAGAGCCTCTTTTCCTTGCCAAAACATGATATCCTGTTACACAATTAAATGAGGAGTCTTCAAAAGGCTTAACTGATATCCTGGGCACCTCTGAGCAAAACAGCATAATATTTTGATAAGGAAAGTTGTAAACAGATGAGATACATATGGATTATGTTTCTATTGAAATGCTCAGGGTTTCAAAAATTAACAGATAATGTGCTTTGAGCTTTCATCCAATTCTCCATTCTTGTGAAATGCAACGACCCTGAACATAGATCTCTCCCTTACCTAGGATTATGAACCAGTCTGGAAACACAAGTCACATAGTGCAGCATATCGGTGACTAGGGCACCTAAAAAATATCTGATGCGCCAGATCCACCCTGTATATTCAGATGTGTAATTCAAGCCCAAGAGACACATCAGAAAGTAAAGGGTAATAGAGAAAAAAGCAAAAGAGGCAAATGAAACAAACATGGCACAAGAGCATTGTAAGGGTTTTATTGTACTACGAGTCCACAGCACTCGATTTTGCAAAACCCCTGAACATTGAGACAAGATGGATTAAATATGATTAGCCTAAGAAACAATACTAAAATAGGGCATTTTTTCCTTATGTTCAATGGCCACAAACAACACATTTAATCAACTCAAGGGGATATAGTTGTAGAACGGAAAAAATATTTGAACATATTCTATTTGACAGTGTCTTGCAGAACCCAGTCTCAGAACCTTTATTCTTTTTTTAAAGATTTTATTTATTTATTTGAGAGAGAGTGAGAGCGAGAGAGATCACAGAGGGAGAGGAAGAGGGAGAAGCAGACTCCCCGCTGAACAGGGGAGATCATGACCTGAGCCAAAGGCAGACGCTTAACTGACTGAGCCAGCCAGGTGCCCCAGAACTTTTATTATTTTTAATATATAATATAAATTTTTGATAATATAATTAATATTCTTAATATAAGTGAATACTTAGGAGAGGAATTTTACACACCAGTAGCCTGAAAATAAGCCAGTAGCAGAGGGAACTATACACAAAAGCACTTCAGGAAGGAGAATGAAAGGACATTGCAGTTTGCTGTAATGGCATAATTATGCTGTGGGCATAGTTGCCTGGAGCTTAAAAATACTATAGGACTTAGTACTGGACAAATCAACTAATATTTTCAGAGAGTCTGCTATGAGCCAGGCACTACATCTAAATTACATACCTGATCTCTTTGTATCCTAAAAGCTCTATGATATAGAGACTATCATCATGATCATCACCTTTAAAGTGTCAGTGAAGATCTCCAAGATTCCAGGAGAGCAGGCCAGGTCATACCTAACTCTCAAGACTGTCTTGAGGATTAAGAAACAACATATATAATATTTGTATATAACCCACAAATAGAAAATACAAATATAATAGTTTAAAGTTTTATAGTTAACTTCTAGTTCAATGTGCCCTATAAAGCACACATCTTCCTCTTCTCCCTCCCAAATTCCCTTTGAAATTACAAATGTAAACCAACAAAAGAGGAAAACAAAACCCAGCGCACTATGGAGTCAACAAATGATGCTTTCTACAGATTTGGTAGTCTGAAATTTTCACAAATTTCTGGAAGATGGAAAGAGAAAGGACTTATATTTCTAAACCCAGTCTTACAAAACCAAACAGTTCAGCTTACATACGTGAGGAGGCTATAAAAGGGGATGCTGGCGTTAAGAAAAAAAAAGAAGAAGAAGAAGGTAGCAGGAGGGGAAGAATGAAGCAGGGGAAATCGGAGGGGTAGACGAACCATGAGAGACGATGGACTCTGAAAAACAAACTGAGGGTTCTAGAGGGGAGGGGGGTGGGAGGATGGGTTAGCCTGGTGATGGGTATTGAGGAGGGCACATTCTGCATGGAGCACTGGGTGTTATGCACAAACAATGAATCATGGAACACTACATCTAAAACTAATGATGTAATGTATGGGGATTAACATAAGAATAAAAAAAAAGGGGGGGATGCTGGCTTTCTCTGGAAACAGATACACATTCAGGAGGGCTGTAGCATTCATCTCCAGCTGGAACTGCAAGAACTTTCCACTAAAAACAGTGTAAGATTTGTTTGGGAAGGATTATTAGGTAGAGTGTTTGGGCTGGGGACATAGGCAGAGCAAGCCTGCAAGAATCCCAAAATAACTTACTGTACCCAAAGAGTAAAATGAAGATGACAGTTCCTCCCAGGAGTAAAACTCAGTGAAGATCACTGTTATAGGCTGAATTGTGTCCTTCCCAAATCCATATGTTGAAATCCTAAACCCTAGTACCTCCGAATGTGACCATATTTGGAGATCGGGTCTTTAAAGATGTAATTAGGTTAAGATTACGGGTGGGCCCTAATCCAGTAGGACTGGTATCCTTAAGAGGAGATAAGACACAGACATAGAGGGAAAAACCATGTGAAAGAAAAGAAGGCCAACTACAAGCCAAGGAGAGAGGCATCAGAAGAAACCAACCCTGCCGACACCTTGATCTCAGACTTCTAGCCTCTAGGACAGTGAAAAAATAGATTTCTTGTTGTTTAAGTCAGCCAGTCTGTGGTACTTTGTTACAGTAGCTGCAACAGACTAATATAATCACTACCAGATTAGCCCCAGTGAAATCTCCACTGCTTTGAAAATTGTGAGGGTTCCAAGCTAGCCACCAATGGAGCCGAAAGTCTGTAGTCAGTCTTGTATCCCATTCAAGATAGACCTTTTGCAAAGGAGAGTCCATACCAGGTATTTATATGAATCAATATATTCCTTGTTTCAAAAATATGATTGCTCAACCAAAACTCAACAGATATCTAATGGAAACTGAGTAAAATGGAGACACTTACCCTGGATGGATAAAAAATAATACAAGGCAGAAATGCAATCTAAAAAAAAAAAATTCTAATTAGTATCCTCAGAGTGTTAGGTCAAGCTAATATGGAAATGAAGAGCCAGTTTCAGAATGGAGAACTATCTCATTTGAAATTTCCTCCTCATACCCAGTACACCAGCACTGCCAGCCACCTGGTTCTTTAGGCTCTAGACAGCTAGGGACAACAATTAGTAATGAAAGAGGAAAAGGCAATGACAGGAAGAACAGGGTGGTCAGGATTTCCTTGGCTACATCCCCACAAAGTTTCAAAATACCTGGGAGGAAAATGTGATTGGTACCAGAACTATGATATAGTCTAATAAGAGATAATAGTTGTACATATGTAGATGAGTCGCAAACTTTAAATGTCACTATAAATCTGATATGCAGAGAAAATGCAATTTCTTTATCTCATCTGTAATGACTCTGGTCTAAGTTTCTACCTGTTGGTAAGCAAAAATATGCACATGGATAATAATGGTAGATGATAGATAGATATTAGGATAAATG